CTCCTACTTATTCCTCTTTTCAACATTCCCACTTATCCTAACCCCTAACATCCTACCTCCAATTTCCATCTCTTTACATATCCCCCCTCTCTATTCTCATCCCAACCTCTCAGTTATTTGAGAGATTCTTCGTTTGTTTGTTTCATCCTCTCCGGATTAGTCAACGTCTAAATAAATATATCCACATCGCAAAAAATATCCCCCCATCCATCCACACGAGTAGCACTCACACATCCCTCATATGCTGTTCATATGACATGCTCGCCCTATTTCTATAGGCGCGTGCGCCATTGATTTTTACCTAGTTCTCTAGCTAATAGTGTATAGAATTTTTCTCTTTCTTTTAGCTATCCTCGCATCTAACAGAATATTAAGACCCTCGCTAAAAATTCGTTTATTAGGCTGTCCTTCAATTTTTCTTAGTTTTTGGCTTCAAAACACCCTTCAAACAGAATAAAAAATATATAATTTATTACGCTAGCTTTTAAGACTTCTACATAGTATGTATTTATTTATTTATTTATTAGTTTATAATTGCGTTCCCCTTTTTGCTATAGTAATTGTTAGTTTCCGAAAGGTTTTTGCAAAATTACTTTTATCCTTTCCTAGAAATCGAGTAGGTTATTTATTATTTCTATAGTTGGGATATGGTAATTAGAGACATGATTAGGAGCAAATAGATCCGTAGGAGAGAATTATACCTCGGGAAAAATATCGATATCGACCTTTCTTTTGTTCAAGAGAGAGACGGAGCGAGACAGGATCCCGCGCGGAATACCGCTCCCGCAATTTTTTCGATTTGCGGGAGTTCCCGCGGGATACCGCCCCCGCAATACCGCGCTTTTTTCAATTTGCGGGAGTTCCCGCGGGATACCGCCCCCGCAATACCGCGCTTTTTTCAATTTGCGGGAGTTCCCGCGGGATACCGCCCCCGCAATACCACGCTTTTTTCGATTTGCGGGAGTTCCCGCGGGATACCGCTCCCGTAATCCCGCACTTTTTTCGATTTGCGGGAGTTCCGGGATCCCGTCCCGCAGACGTTTTTAATTGTTACTCCCGCATGCGGGATCCCGAAATCACAATTTTCCGCTTTCTAGTTTTTGTTCTCTATTGGTAGTACTCTACTGACCACTACCGTTATTTTTTAAATTCTTTTTTAATTGGCATTCTGTTTTGCTTTGATATTTCATCCCCTATTTTAAGCGGTTGGGGTCAGTTGAGCGTGGCCGGTTGAGCGTCAGCCGACATTTGAACGGCTATAACTTTTTTAGCCTTGATCCAATACGAATGAATCATATATCATTCGAAAGCCCTCGATGAGTCCAATCTTTATCCCAACTGGATGGATCAGTTCTGATCCCGGTTAAAAGGTTATAAGTCGATAAATGCAGAAAATCGTTGTTTTTCACACATATCGACTTGTAACCTTTTAAATAGCGATCAATCATGATCCATCCGATTGAAAGAAATATAGCGCTTAACGAGGGCTTTCGAAAGATATATGATTCATTCGTATTGGATCAAGGCTAAAAAAGTTATAGCCGTTCAAATGTCGGCTGACGCTCAACCAGCCACGCTCAACTCGCCCGTTCCGTATTTTAAGCTTACTGTATTTTCATTTTAGAAATTTTTTTGTATTTTTTACTGTTTTTATGTGTTACTGTTTTTACTATTACTTGTTCTTTTCCTTAACAAAAAAAATTTTTTTTTGCTCCAAAACAATAAAGTCCCCATACCCTTTAAGTTCTTCCTTTCCTTAAATCCTCTTAAAATAATCTTTATTTAATTTTTAGGTTTAAGCTTGTAGTATTTAAAAAACATTTTTTTGTTAAAATTTATGTGTAATGTGTGGGTTAGAATGCGATGTTTGTAAACAAAAACTTCCGTTGGCGGAAAATACAACCCCAACAATATGTATTTTCCCATGTTTTCATAAATATTGTGAACGGTGTAAAGGTGGGGAAATTTTTTTTGGGGGGGAAAAAATTTTTTGAAATTTTTCGAAAATTTTTTTTGAAATTTTTTTTAGAAATTTTTCGAGTTTGAAAATTTTCAAAAAATTTTTCGAAAAATTTCAAAAAAAATTTTCAAAAAAAAAAATTCCGAAAAATTTTTTTGAAATTTTTCGAAAATTTTTTTGAAATTTCTCGAGTTGAAAATTTGTTGGAAAATTTCCAAAAAAATTTAAAAAAAATTCAAAAAAATTTAGAAAAATTTTTTCAAGAAAAAATTTTTTTCAGCCCAAGTCCTTGCCAGTGCTCGCCCTCAACATGGTGCTGAAAGCCGTGTGTCTTGCAAACTGTGCAATCAACATTTTCTTTTAAACGTGTTATATGATTACAGTGAAAATCAGATTGAAAAAATGTGAAAAAATTTTTCAAAATTTTTAAAAAATTTTTTTCAAAAAAAATTTTTTCAGTTTTTGTCTTCACTGTAACATAAAAAATAAAGCTCCAGTGGAATGGCGTTGTAAAAGCTGCGAGAATAGATATTTGTGCGCCCATTGTTCACAGCCTCATTATCATTCTGGACATGAGTTGGAGCCTGTGGTGAAAAATTTTTTTTGTTAAATTGGGACCAAATGTCCCTTCTGAAAATTTTTTTGAAAAATTGGGATCAAATGTCCCTTCTGAAAATTTTTTGGAAAATTGGGACCAAATGTCCCTTCTGAAAATTTTTTTGAAAATTTGGGGCCAAGTGTCCCTTCTGGAAATTTTTTGGAAAATTGGGACCAAATGTCCCTTCTGAAAAATTTCTTTAATCCTTACTTTTCTGCTAAAATTAATTTTTACCTATTTTTAGATGAAGCCTTCCATTCCTTTGCGTTCCCAATGCACTTCTCATTCTAATGTTCTTGCAACATATTTGTGCTCTTGTCAGGCGGTAAATTAAAATTTACAATTCGGACCTCATGAGATTCACAAAATACACCTCTATGATTCCAAGCCTTCTCTCACATTCTTTTTCCTTAAAATGAACATAATGCTCTTTCTGTATGTCCTTAGGGAAATTGAGAGACTAAAAAACGTCTGACCATTATGTACATTTTAAGGAAAAAAGAATTGTGGGAAGAGTGTGGACCAGACTTGGAATTGCCTATATCTTAATTTAAGTTACGTTTTTCTAGCTGGGCACCGGGTGGAAGTAGTTGACCAGCGATACCCTTTATTTAAAATAAGCCTTATTATAAGAGGTGTTTTTTCTGCCCTAGGGGTTTGTGTTATAATGACGCCCAGCTGTTTGACCATTAAACAAAAATTTTAAATAATTTCAGCGTTTATGTGACTATTGTTTAAACAACCATGCAGATGGCTCTACTGAACATCCGCACGAACAACGCATTGCATACACAAAATTGGCTGAGAGGGCTAGAACAGAGTTGGAAACTATTAGGTGGGTGTGGGATATTTTGTCTCTCATCTTTTAATTTTTTTGTTTTAATTTTTTTTAAATTGCCTTATTTCTAAAAATAAGGGCGTAAAGGGGTCTCTAAGAGTAAGGAGGGTTATTGTAGACAGATCGGTCTTGCTAAGCCTCCGATACTCGATTAATTTGAAAATTATTTTCAAATCATTCGTAGGCTATAGGATTATTCTTGATCTTTAAGCAAATTATTTAAAAAATGAATTAATCGAACAAATGAGTCGAATCACGATAACACTGTCTTCCTAGTAACACATGGCCCAACCATGCTCGGATAAGTGTTTCAGCGAGTTTAACCCCCAACGTTTAACCTTCCCACCCTCCACCCCTTGAGGTGAGTCAACCCTTAATTTTTCCATTTGTTTAATTCAGTCCTCAAATGGACATTTATCGAGCTTTGTTAAGTGCAGTGAATGGCTCCTGAGCCGAAGCTAAGATTTTGATAACCCCGCAGCCTGGGCCAAGATTTTAAAAGAGCCAATAAATGCCAAATATTAAACACCGGCTTCGATTCTTTACTCTAACCCAAAATTATTTTTAGAAATTTCTCTTTATTCTTCAAAAAATTATTTTTTTATTTAAGACGTCAAAGTATTCGAGATACCGAAAAAATCGAAAGTCTCAAAGAGAAAGTAGCTACCAACAAAAAACAAATAGGTATACAAGCAACCCAAGCACGTACCGCCGTAGCTAATGAAGTTGTTGAGTTAGTTAATGCAATTATCAGAAGGGGAAACGATATTGTAACGTGTATAGATTCGACAGAAGAAACGAAGATAAAAAATTGTGGTCAATTGGAAAAAGAAATGCAACATTGGCTTGATAGATTGACTAAGGTAAATTGCAGCTGGTCTCAAACTTTTGCTGAAACAAATTTTTGGAAATCAGACAGATTTTTGGGGGAAAAGATAAATTTAAAGACAAATTTAAAAAATTATCTGGGAATCTTCTACTCCATTGGTCCCTAGAAAAAAATAAACAAGAAATGATTTTTCGACCTCCTTGAGGTTTACAGTAGGTAATCGAGTGTGCTGAATCCGAATCGGAGCTTAGACTTGATTAACTATTGATAAACCTCATAAATGTGAAAAAGCATTTCTTGTTGATTTTTTTCTTGGACCAAAGTAGAAGATTACCAATTATCCGCAATCTTCTTTAGGAAAAGACAGGCTTTGAAGGGTGCCTGCAGGATAATAACCTCTCCCTACCCCAATATACTTTAGGGTTTTACCGTTGGGCTATGATAATAGTTTGATTTTAATAACAGTTGTCTCAGCTCGGCGAGATGCATTGAACTTTGCTGAAATTATCGGGATTATAACTTTTATACCTCTAGAAGCAAAATCCCAATTCAATCCCGAGGGGTGTTGTCAAGCCTGATTTTACTGCCCCTCCCACGTCATCTTACGTTTTTAAGCCTGATTTTACTACCCCTTCCAAGGCATTTTCCTTCTTACGTTAGCATTAGTCTTGGGTGTTCTTATAGAAAATTTAAAAAAATATTATTTTTTTCTTTTCAGATTGAAAGCTTCACCCAATCCGCATTATTCACAACAGTCCAACAAGACCATCCAGGAATGTGGTCTGCTTCAATGTTTTCACAAAGTGCCTTATTTCAAGTCAATAAACGACGTGATTTAGCTAAAAATACGTTGGAACAATTTGAACGTTCGCCAATAATTTCTTATCAAAGTTGGTCAACAAAAGAGTTGTTTAGTGCGATACGTTCTTTTGGTCTATTAAATTTGGATGGAGAAATTAAAGTGAGAGGAAGGGGATTTTTTATAAAAAAATTTTTTTGGGAGAGTGTGGGTATTCTTTATAGGTTGGAATCGAGGAATTGTGGTTTCCATGGTTCCATGTTAAAAATATATGTGAATAACTACAATCTCACTTTAGTGCACCCTCTTGGGGCAGAAAATCATGCCGGAATAGGGTTAGCAAATCCAAATTAGTTTCGGCAAATAGATTTTCCCGATACCGTTGGTACCGAAAATTTCCAAACTTTCACCGGGACGGTTCCAGTTCCGGGAGTACCGGAAAATACCGACTCAGTATTTTCGAGAGTACCGATGGAGTACCGAACCGTGTCGAACACTAATCCAAATATCCTACTCCGAAAAAGTCAGCATATCAAAAATCATTTGGACGCAAAAGTCGCGATACAGTTTCCATCCCCTACGGAACGTAATAACTCACAGGGAATTACTACCTTATTTCTGTAAAACCTTTCAGGTCATAAGAAGGGAGAGATTGAGGGCCAGTCTCATTCCCACCCATTTCGTCACTATCAGGAATGTATCGGGGTGAGAGGAAAAAAAGTCGAGTTGTGTTTCTTCCAAATTTTTTTTCGGCACGGGTTTTGTCTGAAAAGTCTGGGTAACTTGTTTTGTTTACTTGACCGATTCCAAGTTATTCTAGATATAAAAATAGACTTGACCAATTAAATGGGGTACTTATTCCCTCCCCCCCCCCCAGTCCGAGGTTTAGTCGAAGTATGAAATGGTGGATAGTCATTTTTTCCTTACATAGCTTTAAATAATTTGCTTGTAGGTCACATTCGTTCACTCACTCTTCAATTCACCTACGCCCATTGGGTCTGGGACTTGCCTTACCCTATCCCACGGAGTTTCTGAAAGTTAAAATATCATTTTTCTGAAATTTTTAAAAATTGGCTATAACTTCATGAATTTCGAGGGACAGTGAAGGAATGGTCCTAGACCCAGTGGGCGTCGGGGAATAAGTACCTTAAATAGTTTTATAAATTGTTAAATTAAAATTTAGATCCCAGCACAATCAACACCACAAAATGCTCACATGTTTTCAATTTCAAATAGTTTTACCCAGTCTAATAGCAATTCTAACACTTCAAATAATGCAACAGATACTCCACCAGTCCAACAACAACAAAATAAACGGCCCATTCCTCCAACTCAAAATGTCCCTCCAATTATACGTTCAACTTCGAATCATTCAAATGCTTCAACTTCACAACAACATGCTGTTAATTTTTCTGGTAGTAATAGTAATATACAACAACAACAACCATTACAACAACAACCACAAAGAATTTCTACACCATCAGCTGTTATTATGGTGGGTAATGAAAAGAAATTTTTTCACAGTTTTTGAGGGCATTCGACTCAGCTCGAAGAGACTATTCAAAAAAATAACTTAAATTTCAATTTCGAATTTTTACCTGAATTAATCTTGTTAGACTTTGGGTTTGGGATTCGAAATAAACAAATTCTAAGCTCAGATTCGGACTCAGCACACTCGATTTCCATCTGGCAAGCCTCAAAAATATCGAAAGGACATTTTTGATTATTTTTTTCTAGGGACCAATGGTCTTTAGGATTATCGGCAAATCTAATTTAAAAACTGATCACTTTATTTTTTTTCGTGTTTACTTAATTTTTTAAAATTCCGGTTTTTAATTTTTGATGAGTTATATAGGTTTAAATCTTTTATGTTCTTTGGTTGGCGAATCCTGGAAATCCTTAGATATCTGGATCAGATATTTGATAGAATATTTTTTGGATATCCGGGCATTTTTCGAATTTGCATATGTTCCGCCACCTTTGTTTTCGTTTTTGAAAAATTCATCAGATAGATTATGGAATAAGAACTTTCATGGAAAAGTCTCCGATTCTGTATCTTTCTGTGTACCTTAGTTTTTGCAGTGGAAAATTTATTGGATAGGAGATGGAATAATAACATTCGTGTAAACGGGTCCGATTCCTTATCTTAATCGACTGGGCTACCTTCCAACCCGGTAGTGTTTTACAAAAAAAATTTTTACGTTTTTGGCTATCAGTTTTTAGTAATCCTATTTTTTTAGCTTTTCCAATATTTTATTTTCTAGACTTTATCATCTCCTCCTCCAAATATTCAACAAAATCCACCATCTATCCATCACCCCATTCCACAACAACAACATAATATTGGTGGTCCAAACCTTCACCATTCTGAAATTCACCATATTTCTGTTTCGTCTCCAACTCCAATTATTCCACAATTATTACAACAACCTTTAAATGTTTCTGGTTCACGTTTTGTACAACAACACCCCCAACAACACCCACAGCAACAACCCCAACAGCAACAACCCCCTCAGCATCATCCTCAACGTCTTCCACAATTACTTCCATTAAATTGCCCATTACCTGTTGTTGGTTCGCCGCCAATTTCTTTACCTAATACACCTCTAACTCCTGTTATGCATGGACCGCCTGATCAGATGCAAATTATGAGACAGAATATAGTATTGCAACAGCAACAACATGTGAGGAGATAAATTTTTTATTCTAGACTACGAGTTATGGGGCTTGTATCCTAATTTGGGTTAGGATCGGGACTGGATCTAGTTCATAATCTTAATTATCGTGAAATGATTGACCCAGCATTTTCCTACGCTGTACTGTAGAATATGAAGAGGGCTTGAAACTCTTATTATACACCATTCGATTCGCCTCCTGGGATAACCTCTCAGCTCGATTTGCTGAGTCGAGAACTAGCTATTCGTTTTATAATATAGCTTTATAATATATTCTCCCTCTACAACCGAGGGACAATATTGGAGTTAACACTAATGAGTACCTCAGATTTATTATATCGATATCTAACTTTGATCAATCCTAAAGTAGGTCTCTAGTCCATATTTCAAGATCAGGAAATCCGTAGATATAATTCGTTTTCTAATTTTAGATTGGTCAACAACAACTTCAACAGCAGCCTCATCAACAACAACAACGTTCTATTCAACAACAACAACCTTGTCTTCCTCATAGACAACCACCACCACCACAATTTCGTATGCAACAAATTCCACAAAATCATGCTGGTCCAATGCCCCATCAAATTCAACAACAAAATATTTGTCAAAATTCACAACAATCAATGTTTAATCAACAACAACCACATCAACAACCTCCACCACATATTATTCAACAACAACAGATGCAGCAACATCAGCACTATATGACAGCACAAAGACTTCATTTACAGCAACAACAATTGATGCTTTCACAGCAGGCATTGAAAAAAATTTTTTTCTAGGCTATTAGGGGGGGAGGGTATTCGAAACCTATAAGGATATTCTTCAAATATTCGAAACCTAAACGAAGGTCGCATCGAAAAATTCTTTCGATTCTTAGCTTTAGTTCAGAACTAACAGTCTTAATTATGACCTTTTTGAGGAACCTTTTTAGGTAGCTTTTTAGTAAAGGAGACGTAACTTTGTCTTTTTGAGCTCCAAATCTACCCTGGACTCCAGAGTTTGAACAAGAGTAGGGTTGCGGTTTTCGAGTCGGGCGACCTTAGAGTCATTTTTTCGGGCCTTATTTTTATCGGGCCGGCCCGACCGAGTCTTTTTCGGGTGAAAATTCAATGCACGACTCGATCTTTCGGACTGGGCCGGATCGGGCCCCCAACTCTAAACAGGAGTTAACTCATTTATTGTTTTGATGTCGCGGCCTCTTTCTCTTGTTACATATTTTTTAATAAAAATTAAATTTTTTCTAGTATCATCCTCAAGTTATGTCTCCTCCATTTCAACAACAACAGCCACAACAACATATTGTTCATGTCCTAGATTCTCCACATAATCAACAACTTGGTAATAATAATGGTGGGCAAGAAGACCGTCCTCTACCTCCAATTATATCCAGAATTCCAAATCCTCGACTTAATGCGCAACAATTTGTGGAGTGAGTTTTTTCCTTCCGATTACTACCTATTTTATGAAAAAAAATTTTTTTCAAGTTCCGTTATTGGTCAAAATTTGACTTCTGTTCCTTCTGCAACTGAAAACCATCCCCCTCAACATTATCAAAATTCTGGTGTGACCCCCCTCGAGCATTTGGTAGAAATGACAAGTGCTTCTACTATGCCTCAACAGACATCTAGTAGAAATTTTGAGAATTTGCCGGCACATATTTCCCATAAACAATCGACATCTTCAGCTATTCCAGAAATTGTTGATTTACTGGATGATGAAGAGGAAGAAGGACAAAATAAAAATAATTCTTCTTGTCAAGAATTAGAAGCTTCAATAAATCGTTTAATAACAGTCCCTATAGCTACTGATATAATTATTAATTCTGAAAAAATTGAAAAAATTAATGATAATTTAAATTTGCTTCAACAACAAGATTCTGCTATACAACAATTACAGCAACAACAACAACAAAATAGTAATAATAGCCCTCATTTATTAAAAGCTTTGCGTCAGAATAAACCGCAAAGCGCTGCTGCAGATTCTACTGTTTCTTTTGCTGGAAATAATTGTTTGTGTTTTATTTGTTTAAAATCAGAATTATTTAAAATCAGAATTATTTAAAAACCAGAATTATTTAAAAATCAGAATTATTGAAAATCAGAATTATTAAAAATGAGAATTATTAAAAATCAAAATTAATTAAAAATCAGAATTATTTAAATCAGAATTAAAAAATCAGAATTATTTAGAAATCAGAATTAATTAAAATCAGAATTAATTAAAATCAGAATTAATTAAATCAGAATTATAATTAAAATCAGAACTGTTTAAATCAGAATTAATTAAAATCAGAATTAAAAAATCAGAATTATTTAAAAATCAGAATTATTTAAAAATCAGAATTAATTAAAAATCAGAATTATTTTAAAATCAGAATTAATTAAAATCAGAATTAATTAAAAATCAGAATTATTTAAAAATCAGAATTAATTAAAATCAGAATTAATTAAAATCAGAATTATTTAAAAATCAGAATTAATTAAAATCAGAATTAATTAAATCAGAATTATAATTAAAATCAGAACTGTTTAAATCAGAATTATTAAACATCAGAATTACTATTTAATATCAAAATTAGTTTAAATCAGAATTATTTAGAAATCAGAATTAATCAAAATCAGAATTATTTTAAAATTAGAATTATTAAAAATCAGAATTATTTTAAATCAGAATTAATTAAAATCAGAATTAATATTTATAGTAATATCAGAATTAGTTTAAAACAGAATTATTAAACATCAGAATTACTATTTAAATCAGAATTATTAAAAATCAGAATTCTGCTAGTTCAAATTCTGATTTAATTTTTCAAATCAGAATTTTTTGTATTTTCTCTAAAACACATAAAATACATTTAAATCAGAATTTTCTCTTTAATTTCAGCGACTGAATCTCCTTCTACTGTCGCTCCAATAAATACAAATTCTGGTACTAAACGAAAACCAGCATCAATAAATATCGATGATGGGGAACAACAAAAACAGAAACGGATAGCCAAAGAAATTAATAATAAAATTTTAAATTTAAATAATAATGAAGAAAAAAGGCCTGTAAATATTTCTCCTCCGGCCGATTTAATTACTACAACAACAGAAGAAAATGGGGAAGGGGGAGGAGGAGAAGATTTTGATAATAAAGAAGAGAATAATGATGAACAAAAATTAGGCAAACTTAAAACTTCGAGAAAATCAGAAACTCCGAATAGCCTCGATTTACGTGTATTTAGTTCTCCGGAAGAACAAAATGCTGAGGAGGTGGGGAATTGATTAATTTATTTTTTAAAAAATACAGTAGACCACATTTATATATAAGACATACACCAAGTTAAAGACACACCTTTAAAATTTGGTTTGAGGTTTTTAGCTAATCTCCGGACATTCAAAATAAGAACATAATCGCCAGATATCCGGAAATATATTTTTGGTTCGTGATATCCGAAACTGCCCACACAAGCCATTGGAGGGGGGGTTGACCGCTAAGATAACTTTGTTATAAGTGACGCCCCAACGATTCACGTGTAGGTCTAAAAAGATGTCTAAAAAATAAATTAGAAAATAGGTACTTTTTTCTAGGTTGCTACTCAACATGAAAAAATGAATGAAAAAATTTCAATAAATTCAAAAACTGGGAAAATTTCAACAATTAACCCTTTAACTAGTAATAATGAAGAAGCATCCTGTAGTAATAATAAAAAATCTGAAGGAAAAAATTCTGAAAATGTTGGAAATAATAATAAAACGGAAGAAAGGTTAAATAATGGAGATGTATAATAAAAATTTAAAAAAAAAAGCAAAAAAGGGGTCTCATAACCAAAAAAAAATTTTTTTTAATAAATTTAGAATACTTACATGCATCATAAAAATTAATTAATATTTTAAGGTTTAAATTTTTAATAAATTAGGAGTCGTAGAAATAGGATTTTCCTCCCAAACAATTTTCCTCCCAAACGTATTTTTTCCCTTTTTTGTGCCTAAATTTCAATTAGAGGCTTGACTGAGGGAATTTTTTTTATGACGGGTTCTCAAACAAAAAGTCACGGTTATCGAGCTTGAGATTTTTCGAGATATTTATCGCGGTTCTCATACGAAACTCTCCCAGCCTTGTCTCTAATTTCGATAACACAAAATTCTCCCGAACATTCTTTTCTTCTTTTTGAACTTTTTTTTTGCAATGAGACCCCTTAATGAGTATTAATTTGGGGTTTCAATATTTTTAAAATTATTATAGGAAAAATGGAGGGGGGGGGTATTAAAGAGAGTAATTCTTGGAGGTTAGTTGAGATAGGGAAAGTAACTGAGGGTAGACTTGGTAATGGATATGATATTGAGACAGATAATTTCAAAATGCCTGCAGATATGTATTAGTGATGCTCGGGTATCCCTAATTCCGACTTAGGAAAATTTCCCGAGTTTTTGGCCTCCCAAGGTTTTTTCTGGCTTTTTTTTTGGCCTACAAGCCTCATTTTTCCCCCTCGCAACCTCCCCTCCCTCCCATGCATCCCCTACTCCCATTTCCCGATTCTCGGGTTTTTCTTCTCCCGAGCATCACTAGCGGATATTTGCCTGTATCCGTCAAGGATACGGATACCAAAATCCATATGTCCATTACCAAGTCTGGTTGAGAATAATTTTTTGAGGATATACGATAGTCAAAAAAAAACCGTTTAAAAAAATTTTTTTTCTAGTCGTAATGCTACAAGTGATGATTTTTGGGATGATTATTGTTATGTATGTTCTCAAGGTTGTGATGAAACTACTGGATCTCTTGGTTGTTGTGAATCTTGTCCACGTGTCTTTCATTCTCATTGTCATGTTCCACGAATTAAGGGCTATATGGAGGATTTACCGTTAGAAAAAAAATTTTTATGAATTTTTAAAAAATTTCTTTTTAAAGTGATGATTGGCGTTGTTCTGTCTGTGTGGAATGCGAACCTTTGACTGTTCAAACCCAAGAATTTGGTTATAGGGAACAATTGGTAAGGAAGTGAATTTTTTAAAGAGAAAAGCTTAGTACCCTTATAACCATTTCTTCCTTATAACTAATATTTTGAAAATTAGGCCTAGTAACTTGACTGAAATAGAACGAATTTAGCGATTTTCATGCCCGAAAGTTTTCCCAAAAAAGTTTATTCAAGAAACCACTAAAGTTCGACACTTGACCCTCAATAGACTAAAAGCGGTCTGCATCCGAAAGCGGGTCTGCAGCCGAAAAAAGTACCCTGAAATTTTCTCAACGGATCAGATATCCGGTACTTCATAGGATCTACCAGCACTTCTATATAGTTTTTTCCCTTCTATCCACTCCCTTCTATGCCTTCTTTTTTTCCTTTTATATTCCCTTCCCTTCTATCCACTAGATCCACACCAGGGCTGGGCGAAATCAAAAAATAAAAAGCGAAATGCGGAATGCGAAACTTTTTTTAAAAAAATAAAAAGCGAAATGCGGAATGCGAAACTTTTCGCGCCAAAAAATGTGAAAAATGCGAAAGATGCGAAACGCGAAAATGCGAAATCAGTTAAAAATTTTCAGAAAAATTTTTGGAATTAGTATAGTATTCCGGAGGCAAAATTTCGATAAGAAACACAAACATTCGATTTCTCTCGGCGAGCTGAGTCGAACGATACCACTCTCTATTCACGGAACTCCCTGTCAACCGAGATATAGGTCCCCGAATATCGAAAAACCATAGGGGGCATTGAAGGTTCGGGCATTGCAGGTTCCGATTTGAGTTCGTGATCGGGGTTATTATTTAAATTAGGGTTGAGCGGGATCGGGATCCCGGTCGGGATCGGGCGGGATTATCCCGGGTTTTTCAAATCCCGATCCCGATTTTTCTGATCCCGCTCCCGAAATATATATCCCGATCCCGATCCCGGCCAATCTCAATCCCGAGCCGGGATCCGGGATCGGGATCGGGATGTGCATCAGATCCCGATGCAAATCCCGACTTTATAAATTGACTAGAAGTCTGTGAAATAAAGTTAACAAAAGAGTTGAGGCGTGAAAGTGAGAAAAATTTTCGCCTGCGGCGCAGAAAAGGGAAGAGATTTGGCTTCTTGACATCCAAAATTCTCAAAATTTTCGCCTGCGGCGCAGAAAATGGAGGAAATTAGGCAGCTTGACGTCCAAAATTCTCGAAATTTTCGCCTGCGGCGCCGCAAAAATGAACAAAGCTGTCTTTACAACATTAACGAAATATTGAGTGATTCGGTGTGATATCGAGGGATCAAGAGGGATTGAGAGGAGTATCGGTGGACTCTATGCCCCCTTAATCCCCTGAACCACAAAGTAAATTATTCGTCTATGATACTTAAACTCAATATTTTAGCACCGCAGTGGCAATTTTAGAATTATACTGAGTCGTATGTGAAGAAAATAAAAATTTAAAAATTTTGAAAAATTTTTTTAGTAAATCCCGATCCCGATTTTTCAATACCGGTCCCGATTCGGGATCGGGACCGGGATCGGGATCTCCAGTCCAAATCCCGATCCCGATTTCGGCCAATCCCGATCCCGTGTCGGGATCCGGGATCGGGATCACCATTCCTAAATCCCGATCCCGGGTTTTTCTCTAAATCCCGATACCGCTTAACTCTAATTTAAATCCCGATACCGATTTCGACCAATCCTGACTCGTAGTTTGACCGGTCTAGGGGTGATTTCCATTTTTTTCACCACAGGCAAAAATTCCGAGAATTTTGAAGTCAAAGGAGCAATAATTCTTCCAAGGATCTTCTGATATCCCTCTTAATCTCAAATCTCTTTCTTGCGCCGCAGGCGAAAATAATGAGAATTACGGAAGTCCTTAAGTCAGATTTCTTTTATTTTCTGCGCAGCAGGCGGAAATTTTGGAAAATTCACTACTAAATTAAAATTTTTAATGTTTTTCATGTTTGACATATTAAAAAAAATAAATTTACAAATTTAAAATTAAAATTAGAATTTAAAAATTTTTATTTTTGGAAGGAAAAATTACCTATTTCCAAACCCTGGATTCGAATCCAGCCCCAAAAAACAATAAAGTGAGAAAGTCAGTCAACTTAACCACTCCACCATCGAGGACTAAATGAAAGATAGGATAATTTTTCTATATTTCTTTCCCTTTACCTTTAAGAATTTAATGTAAAAATATCTAAAAAAATAAAATACTAAATCAAAAAGGCGAAACAAATTTCGCATTTGGGCCAAAAAGCGAAATGCGGAATGCGAAACTTTTCGAGCCAAAAAATGTGAAAAATGCGAAAGATGCGAAACGCGAAAATGCGCAATCGCCCAGCCCTGATCCACACCCCCTTCAATCCACTAGCCCTTCCCTTCTATCCACCACTTTCTTCCCTTCTATCCACTAACCCTTCCGTTAACTATCCTAAATTAATCTTGACTTTGAAAATTTATTTTCCTGTCCTATTCTTCTATTTTTCTCTATGGTCTTTTAATTTTAAAAAAATTTTTAAGCTTAAAATCTTCAGTAAAAATAATTTTTGTTCAATTTTAAGCTCTGTGCAAAAGTCTTTTTGGCCTGTTTTGAAGATAACAGTCAAGTAGAATTATTTGTTAATCAAGTACCACAATCCGAAACAGATTATCATTCTGTTATTAATCACCCAATATGGCTACAAAGAATTGGGGAAAAAATTAATTTTAAATCTTATACAAATGTTTCCAAATTTTTGGATGATATGAATTTGTTATTTCAGAATTTTTCTACCTTTAATTCGGTGAATTTTTAAAAAAATTTTTTGAAGGGAAGGGAAAAAATTTAAAAAATAAAGGGACACGGCTAGGGTTAAGGTGTCTTGGAATTTTTTTGGTTCTACTTGACTTTATGAGTCCAATCGAACTTTATGAGTCCAATCGAAGTTTATGAGTCCAATCGAACTTTATGAGTCCAAATAAAACTTTATGAGTCCAATCAAGATTTATGAGTCCAAACAAAACTTTATGAGTCCAATCAAAATTTATGAGTCCAAACAAATTTCATAAATCCGACATGTCTTATTATTTTAAGTAAAAATTGTGGCTCTACTACATTTATGATTGCTATCACTATTTATGAGTCCAATCAGATTTTTGTGAGCTACGAGGGTAGGTCGTCAGATCAAGGCTGGTGATGAAAAAAGGGATAGGTTTATGTTGCCGACCCAGAACCCAGCGACCGTTGACTCCCGCGAGGCGCGTGCCGCAAAACCCCGCGCGAAGCGCGGGGTTTTAGTTCGATTGGACTAAAGTTCGATTGGACTCATAAACTTCGATTGGACTCATAAAGTTCGATTGGACTCATAAAGTCAAGTAGAACCATTTTTTTTTGAAAATTTAGTATCACATATGGGAAAACCTCATATATGGGATTCTGGCCTTCAATACGGTCGGACTACACTTAGAACTCATATATTGATTCTTATTGAAAAATTTTTTTGAAGGGAAGGAAGGGAATTTTTTTGAAGGGAAGGCTCTTATTTAATGCCTAACATACACCTTATGTTAATTAGATTACGACAAAGTACATTCCCGGGATCCCGGAACTGGATTTAATTTCAGAATGTTAACCGGGACGGGATCCTTCGACATTCTTAATAAAATTTTCTCTTAATTGTATGGGTGAGATTCCAAGTGTCATTTTTAAGCCTGCACCACTTTTGCGGGAAATAATACGGGGAAATGTTTAAAAAAAATTAATTTTAACAATTTAGCCTAGCGATCCATTAGCTACAAAAGGTAAAAGTGTTTATACACGATATATCCAAGCTGTCAAAAAATTTATGCCTTTTTATCAAAAACAAATTTGGATTTATGTTTCTTTATATTCTACTCGTTTTAATTCAACACAAGCAACAACTTCTTCCTCTCTCAATTTGCCTATGGTAAAAAATTTAAAAAAATTTTCAAATTTTCGAAAGATTTCAAAATTAAGGAAAATTTGGTACTTTATGGCTATCTCCTACCATTTTTCTTTTTTACCGAATTTAATCGTTTATAACTTTTTTATGCTTGATTCATTCCGAATGAATCTTATATCGTTCGAAAGCCCTCACTCATTGCTATCTTTTTCCCAACTGAATAGATCAAGTATGATCGCCTATTAAAAAGTTACAAGTCAATAATAGTGAAAAACAACGATTCCTTGCACTTATCGACATGTATCTTTTTCTTGCGTGATCAGACTTGATCCATCCAGTTAGATAAAAAATAGTGCCTATCGAGGGCTTTTGAATGATATGAAATTTATTCGGATTGGATCAGGCATAAAAAAGTTGTAACCGATCAAATTTAGTAAAAAGGAAGATGGTGGGAGATAACCGAAAAGAACCGAAAAATTTCAAAAAAAAAAATTTTCTTCAAATTTATACAATTTCAAAAAAAAATTTTCTTCAAATTTATACAATTTCAAAAAAAAATTCAAAAAAAAGATTTTTCTTAATTAAGGAGGAAGACAATGTCGAGCATAATAACCGTAATCGTTTAATAGTAAAAGGAACTACTGTTGGGCGTAAGCGTGGTGGTTCAAAAGCAAAATCCCAGACTCCAGCTTGATTCTTTTAAAAAGAAATAATTTAATTTTAGAAAAATATTATATGTAACACTTTAAATGCCTCATATCTCCCCTCCCCCTCTCTAATTTCCCAAAAAAATATTTTTCAAAAAAAATTTTTTTTAATAGGCTTGTAATAGATAAAAAAAAGTTTGGAGAGAAAAAAGCTTAAATAATTGTGGTGGTTTCTTAGCCCAACAGAAAAAAAAAATTTTTTTTTTCATTTTAAGATGCAAATAGTCAAAAATTTCACGGGTTAAGTCAGTTAATTGATGAAAAATTAAATAAAATTTTTCTTTTTGGATTCAAATGATAAGAATACATATTACTTAAAATTCCTTAATTTCTCGGATATAATTCCCTAGCATTTTCAATTTCTGATTTTGGGAATATTTAGTTGGCTAAACACCTCTAGAGTTCATCTATGAGCCTCGGGATGGGCCTTGGAATAAAAAAAGAACGTTGGGTAGAATTTTGGATAGAAGAATTGATCGGGTGTCCCTTTCAGGTATCGGATAACTCGATACCTCCTCTTGGTTTTCCTACCTATTACGAGCCTATCTTTTAAATACTTATTTGTTATTTCGTGTAATTTATTGTCTTAAAAGTATATTATAAAATTGCATTTTAGTTTTTTTATTTAAATTTATTTTAATTGTTACGATATAAATGATTACCTAATCTTTGTTTGTTTTACTTAATACATACATATATTAAATTTTAATTTTTCCTGAACAGAGATATAGAATTCGGATCGAATTTTGGAAGATTTCTTGGATCGGCGTCGGATACCACTGCCATCCCTGTTTTGAAAGTGGTTGTCCATGAATATTTTTTATCCGCAAATATTTTTCTCCGCAAATTTTTTGTCCGCAAATGTTCAACGGCAAAAATATTTTGTCCGCAAATGTTCGTCGGCAAATATTTTTAGTCCGCAAATGTCTGTCCGCAAATATTTTTTTGTCCGCAAAAATATTTTTTGTCCGTAAATCTATCCGCAAAATTTGTCCGCAAATACTAGGTCGTTTCATAAAAAAGTTCGTTTTTTTTCACCGCATGTTTTTTGAGTGTTAACTATTTTTATGCTATTTTATTTTTACCATATTTTGTAGCCCAAAGTCTTAGCTTCATAATGATACTAAAATTTTAAAAATAGAAATGACCAAAAAATTTTTATGCCTTCAGAAGTGAGCGTGGGTAGGGGTTTTATTTGGGAGCATTTACACATCCCATTAAAACAAAGTAATAATGTAAAGCTGGAAGCAAGAAAAACTAATGAAACGTTAGGCAGGGATGTGGTCTAGCCTTTTGCAGCTCAAAAATTTTTGAAAAAATTTTGTTCAGGGAGCGGCAGGACCAACCACAAACATGGGTCGTGAAGACGACCGACTGTAAACAAACGCGTCCTTACTCTCCGGTTATAAAAATATCCGGATAATTTTTTATTAGAATTGTAGAGGGGGCATTGCTCTATAAGTACAATATGGCAATTGTTCGAAAAAACGGATCGCAAGCCGAGGAGGACAAAAAGAGTAATGCACCAACCGACTAAGAGACAAAAATAACGAGGACTTTTTCTTTGCCTTTCAAGCCTGGATAACAATCGGAAGGGTTATTCATGGAACCGGATTGTTACCTAATTTGAAACAAATACTAATTACGATAATAATACACAAAAAATTGTTTGGAAGAAAAAACATTAAGACCCTCTTTTGGTCCCCCGCCCAACCAACTACCCAAAAAACGTATGTTGTGTATTCTTTTGGACGGTGCTCGGTCCGTTGGTGTCGGAGGTACTTCAACTTGGTACCATTACAAACTTTAACATGCATATTAACTAATTTACCCAGGAAGATTTCGTTTGTTACCTTCAACGTCGCTAGGGACTGCTTACTAGACCTCTGGTTTTCCATTAAAATAGCGCCCCTTTACACCGCTCATTTTTGACGACCTGCCATACCCCAAATAAACTTTGTTGGAAAGTGTTACCCCACCCCCCTTGTAGCCCTGAGTCTGCTCTATCAGATTAACATCATTTCACTTCTTTAAAAAATTTTTTACGGGACGGGCACTTGAAAGAAGACGCTAAGGTCGAGACTGCGGTGGGAAAGAGAGTGCTTCAGAAATGGGGTCAGATTTTTTTAAAAAGGGGTATCCACAAACTTTTTTCTGTATTAAATATGTTGTCAAGACTCGGGGCAATTATTTAGTACAGTTAGATTTTTTATCTGTTTGAGTTTTCTTGAAATTTACCGATTTTTCTTGGAAAATTTATTTTGGAAAAAAACGAACTTTTTTATGAAACGACCTAGTAATAGGTGAATACATCAAAATTTAAAAATATCATTTATACCACCATATATTAAATACCCACACAATTAAAAAAAAGAAAATTAATTTAAAAAGTTCACACCGAGAATTAAATAAATTTCCACACCTCGTATCACAGTTTAATTAAAGCCAAAGGTAATTTGAAAAAAAATTATTTAATAAAAAAAATTATTTCCCCCTCATCATTCTCTTATTTTTAAAAACACTTCTTTGGTGTTACATTGGGTAATTCAGTCGAATTAAATTTTATTTGATCGTTAAATATTTGAAGGAAATCCATTACGGTGCCAATAGACCAGCCAAAGCCGAGCTGAAATTTTAAATTTTGTCCGCAAATATTTTTTGTCCGCAAATATTTTTTTTGTCGCAAATGTCTGTCCGCAACTGTTTGCCAGCACATTTTTTTGTCCGCAAATGTTCGTCCGCAAAAATATTTTTTTGTCCGCAAATATTAATTTGTCCGCAAATGTTTGTCCGCAATTAATTTTTTGTCCGCAAAAATAGTCCGCAAATATAAATTTGTCCGCAACTTTTATTAATTTAAAATTCAATTTTAATCACCTGAGGTACATATTCACCACCCTTTCCACTTGTCCCCGTAGCCGACAATTTTTCCCACATTGGTTTTTCGATACATTGGGAATATAGACGGTAATTTGCTATAATCCATTTCTTAGCCAAATATAAAGCTTCTTGTTTAAGACTTAAAAATTAAAAAATTTTTGCTTTATTTAATTTCAAAAGACTTTTCCTTGCCAGAATTGAACAATCCAAGAACTACCATATGTTCGTGGTTCTAAATAAAATATTATATATTAAGTAAAAAAAATTTTTTTATTTAAAAAAAGTTTTTTTTATTTTTAAGAATTTTTTTTACCGGCCATATGTTATGAGCATCCCATTGTAGGCCGCTGTCTACAGTACTAAAAATTTTTTTTTATTTTTAAAAAATAATTTGACACTAATTCAGTTTGTGTGCCCATTGGAGACTATGAGAATTTTCAGAAAAAATCAGAATTTTTTAGAACCAGAATTTTCAGAAAAAATCAGAATTTTCAGAAAAATCAGAATTTTTTAGAACCAGAATTTTCAGAAAAAATCAGAATTTTCAGAAAAAATCAGAATTTTCAGAAAAATCAGAATTTTTTAGAACCAGAATTTTCAGAAAAAATCAGAATTTTCAGAAAAATCAGAATTTTTTAGAACCAGAATTTTCAGAAAAAATCAGAATTTTCAGAAAAAATCAGAATTTTCAGAAAAATCAGAATTTTTTAGAACCAGAATTTTCAGAAAAAATCAGAATTTTCAGAAAAATCAGAATTTTTTAGAACCAGAATTTTCAGAAAAAATCAGAATTTTCAGAAAAAATCAGAATTTTTTAGAACCAGAATTTTCAGAAAAAATCAGAATTTTTTTTTTGAGGAATCAGACCCATTCGCTGTCTTTTACTTCGAAAATTTTTTTAACCCCACCTGACTTGGACTCCATAATAATCTTCAGCCCCTTTAGCCTTTTCAAATGCCCCATAATTTTTCATTGTATTATAAATTCGTTCGGCGACACTAGGTTTTTCTGAAGTGTCATAACATTGAGTGAAGAGAGGAACAGCCATTGATGAATAAAAATTAATATTATTTTCTTTTGTTTCCAAATTATAATCATACCTTTAGGAAGGATTAAAGATAAAATTTTTGATTAGATTTTATAATTACCAGCCATATTTATTTTCTTCTTTATCGTATAGAAAAACGTTTCTAAAGTCTGCGCGGAGTTTTAAATAGAGCTTTTTGTAATGGTTAGCCTTTTTCTTTTTTCCTGGAAAATCAGAATTATTAAAAAAGCAGAATCAGAATTTTTTGAGAAATCAGAATTTTCTGAGAAAATCAGAATTTAACAGAAAAATCGGAATCACAATTTTTTAAAAATCAGAAAATTTTAAAAATCAGAATTTTTTAAAAATTGGAATTTTTTAAAAATCAGAATTTATAAAAAATCAGAATTTCTTAAAAATCAGAATTTTTTAAAAATCAGAATTTTTTAAAAATTTTTTAAAAATCAAAATTTTTTGAGAAATCAGAAGTTTTTAAAAATCAGAATTTATAAAAAAATCAGAATTTCTTAAAAATCAGAATTTCTTAAAAATCAGAATTTTTAAAAATTGGAATTTTTAAAAATCAAAATTTTTTGAGAAATCAGAAGTTTTTAAAAATCAGAATTTATAAAAAATCAAAATTTCTTAAAAATCAGAATTTTTTGAGAAATCAGAAGTTTTTAAAAATCAGAATTTATAAAAAAATCAGAATTTTTTGAAAATCAGAATATTTTAAAAATCAGAATTTTTTAAAAATCAGAATTTAAATAAAATCAGAATTTTTTGAGAAATCAGAATTTTTTGAGAAATCAGAAGTTTTTAAAAATCAGAATTTATAAAAAATCAGAATTTTTTGAGAAATCAGAATTTTTTAAAAATCAGAATTATTTTTTAAAATAAAATCAGACCCAAAGCAGTAAATAATTCTGAAAGGATTCGATAGTTCCCACAAATAAAAGCATTCAAATCGTACGGAACTATTGATGTTGTAATTATTTCTTCCAATTTGGGCTGTTCAGGATTGCGCATCCATCGAGCTAAATAAATAAAAATAATTAAGAGTTGATAAATCAGAATATTTTTGAAAAATGGCAAAATTAAAATCAGAATAAGTTCTGATTTTGAATTTATTCTGAAAATTATTAAAATAAAATCAGAACATTTCTGATAAAATCAGAACAAATTTCAGAATAAATTTCAGAACATTTAATAATAAAATCAGAATAAGTCCTCTGATTTTGAATTTATTCTGAAAATTGTCAGAATAGAATCAGAAATGTTCTGACTAATCAGAATAAATTTCCCCTCTTCCAGCTTACAGCTAAAATCCATCCCCGATTCCGCTGCAGATGCCAAATTCTGCCAAAGTTTTGCTTTATTTGCCTCTTTGCTATTAATTGCTGTTATAACGTCTGCGCAAAAAGATTCTGGTCTTGGAACGGTACTTTCAGTTCTGTATTGATACATTGTAAAATTTCTACAGCCTTTTTTGAACTCTACAGAACGATTGACTGTCCAAAATTCTAACTCCTAAATTATAATCATAATCTTTATCCTGTCTTTATCCTGAGAATTATTTTTTTAAAGATTAGAATTTTAAATGTCAGAATTTTTAATGTCAGAATTTATAAAAATCAGAATTTATAAAATCAGAATTAATAAAATCAGAATTTTAAATATCAGAACTTTAAATGTCAGAATTTATAAAGATTAGAATTTAAATGTCAGAATTTATAAAAATCAGAATTTCCAAAATCAGAATTTTAAATATCAGAATTTTTGAAATCAGAATTTCTAAAATCAGAATTTTTGAAATCAGAATTTTAAAAATCAGAATTTCCAAAATCAGAATTTTTAAAATCAGAATTTATAAAAATCAGAATTTATAAAATCAGAATTTATAAAATCAGAATTTATAAAATCAGAATTTTAAATATCAGAATTTTAAATGTCAGAATTTATAAAAATCAGAATTTCCAAAATCAGAATTCATAAAATCAGAATTTTTGAAATCAGAATTTATAAATTCAGAATTTTTACATAATAATTCTGATTTATTAAAAACCATAATTCTGCCTTTAAAATCAGAATTTAATTAAAATATAAATCAGAATTTTAATTATATCAAATCAGAATTATCCAAAATATAAAATAAAATTCTGATTTAAACGCAATAAAGGATAAATCAGAATTTATATTTATTTTTTAATACCTTCTCCATAATAGCAATTATATCATTCAGAAATTCTTTGTCTTTTGTATATTTGTAATATTCATTTACCATTGGGGTAAAAAGTGGGGGTTGTGAACGCATATTGTAATAAATACGACCTGTTAATTGAAAATTTTTTAATGTTTTTAATTTAAATTTTCTGAATTTTTGAAAATCAGAATTTCTGAAAATCAAAATTCCAAAAATCAAAATTTTTGAAAATCAGAATTTTTAAAATCAGAATTTTTGAAAATCAGAATTTTTAAAATCAGAATTTTTGAAAATCAGAATTTTTGAAAATCAGAATTTCTGAAAATCAAAATTCCAAAAATCAAAATTTTTGAAAATCAGAATTTTTAAAATCAGAATTTTTGAAAATCAGAATTTTTAAAAATCAGAATTTTTAAAATCAGAATTTTTGAAAATCAGAATTTTTTAAAATCAGAATTTTTTAAAATCAGAATTTTTTAAATCAGAATTTTTAAAATCAGAATTAAAAAATTACCCCCATTATTAATAAATCCATGATTTTTAATTAACACCACAAAATTTTCCAGCATTCCTTTCACAAGTTCAGGCAATTCTTTTTAAAAATAATTTAAATATTTTGTTAAAAATTACCAGAAGCTAGCAATCCTTTAATCGTCCAATAACTATCCCAATAATAAACTTCTCGAAAACGACTGCCTGGCCTAATGCTTGGATTGGGCAAGTAGATGAGGGAATTGTGTGTTGGATTATTTGCCTTTAAGAAAAATATTTTGGGTTTGGAAATGAAAAAAATTTTTAAGATTTTTAAAATCAGAATTTTTTAAAAATCAGAATTAAAAAAATTTTTTTTTGAAAAAAAAATTTTTTTGAAAAAAAATTTTTGAAATTTTAATTTTTTTTGCATTAAAAAAAATTTTTTTTAATTTTCCAAAAATTAAAAAAAAATGGTACTTTTCCGTTATGACGTAATATTCTAAATTAATGGTCAAAATGTCATATATAGGGTAGAAAAATGTGCCGAGTCGAACGGTACCACTCTTTTTTCCCGGAGATGCATGTGGATCGAGATATAGGGCTCGAAATGGTCAAATTTGTGGGGAGATTTTAGGGGTGAAAAATTCGATTTTGCAAATGATAGCTCATTCGAAAGAGCTCCTCGAGCTGAGTCGAATGACATTAAAATCAACGCGATTTAACAAGTTAGAACAAAGTTATGATCGTTTGTTTTAGCTTCTTACCTATGGCACCATGGGGTTCTCGCTGCTGGGAGCATGACCACCGAGCATGCCCACCTCATCTATGATAGGAATAGGATTATGTTACGAGCCAAGAACCCAGCGACCGTAGACTCCCCGCGAGGCGCGTGCCGCAAAACCCCGAGCGAAGCGTGGGGTTTTGCACAAGCGCCTCGCCTACGCTCCATAGGTTTACGTTGACCATTTTGAACCTGTTTATCTTGGCTCATAATAAAGATCTCGAGCTGATTTTTGTGTCATTCGACTCAGCTCGACGCGCGCTTTCGAATGAGCTATCATTCGAAAAATTAAATTTTTCACCCCTAAAATCTCCCCACAAATTTGACCATTTCGAGCTCTATATCTCGGTCCACAAGCATCTCCGTGAAGAAAGAGTGGTACCGTTCGACTCAGCACCTTTTTCTACTCTATATATGACATTTTGATCATAAATTTAGAATATTACGTCATAACGGAAAAGTACCAAAAAAATATTACATCAGCCGGAATTTGAATACAAAGTTCCTTCCACCTTTCATTCAATTCAAAAGCCCATTCCCGCATTTTATCGTCTTTTATCTTAGCCAATGTTGGAGGCTTTGATTGGAAGTTTGATATGTTTTTACAACTTTAATTATTGCAAAAATATTTTTAAAAATTTCCAGAATTTTTTAAATATTCTTATGACTTGCAAAATCATATTTTTACCACCTCTATATAAGACACGCCCAATATAAGGTAAAAACCTCCATTTAGAATTTTTTAAATCCCCCCACAAGTTTTTTCGCTTGTAAGCAGTCAAACAGACTCTAAAAAAGATGTCTCTTAAATAGAAGTGTGTCTCTTATATCAAGTTATCTTATAAGGAGGTTCTGACTTTATTTAATCTCCATACTCTCTCCCAACCAGAGGTGAATCGGAAATGACAAAGTTGCCGAGAATCGGGACTATTGGAAATCATAAATCAGCCTAAATGTTCGGAAATTGGAAGTCGGAAATCGGAATTCCGATTCAACTCTCCTCCCAACCTTTGCAAAGCTGTAGTATTCGACATTGGATCATCAAAATATTCATTCATAAAATTTTGTAATTTGTCTCTATCCATGTCTTTTACTTTAACACTCTTCGGAAACATTTCGTCAAATTTTTGTTGTACTACAGAAGCTTCTAATTTTGTTGGTTGGTCCACAAAATATTTTGAATCATTTCCAACTAGTATTTGATGGTAGTTGACGGCCTTAATTTAAATTATTAAAACTTTTTAATGGCAGTCCCTAAAGGAGACGTAAAAAGGACATTATTGTATTTTCCTTCCGGAATAATACAATAATGTATTTGAGAATACTTATAATTACAACCGTAGAGAAATAATTATTTTACAACCGGAAATAGTAATATTACTATTCCAACCGGAAAATACTTATTATACCGGAAAAATACGCCGGAAAAGAATAATTAATATTACATCCGGAAAATACAACCGGAATATGCAACCGGAAAATACTTAGTATTAAAAATATAACTTTCCGGAAAATACAATTAATATTACAACCGGAAAAGAAATATAGTTCTTTCCGGAAAATACAATTATTTTTCAACCGGAAAAGTGTAATTAATATTACAACCGGAAAACAATTTTTAAGAATAATTATTTCTTTCCGGTTGTGATTGTATATTATTCCTTCCGGAAAATATTTATTATTATTATATCCGGAAAGATAATACTACAACCGGAACAAATAATTATTTCTTCCGGTTGTAATTTATATTACTCTAACCGGAAAGTATTAGGAATATTCCTTCCGGAAAATACAATTATTATTATAACCGGAAAACTTAAATTACAATTTCACCTGAATAATCCTTCCACTACAATAAATAAAATAATTCCCAGGAGCATTAGATTTATCGCAAGTAGGGACTAGTTCATCCTCATTAATATTTAAAGATTCAAAATCACATTTAATATCTTGACCAAAAGAGGAGGGGAGGGAAAATAGAAGGAAATTTAATAAAATTAATTTTAAATATTTTTCATTATTTTTAATTTTATTTTTTTGAAATTTTAACATGGAAATTTATTAAATTCCTTAAAATTAAAAGAAAAATTATTATTTTATTTTTAAAATTATTATTTTATTTTTTAAATTATTTTTAATTTTTTAAAATTATTTTTAATTTTTTAAATTATTTTTATTTATAAAACACGAAGCAGTCAGTTCCTGCTTAGTTAAGTCCCGACCCTACACCTCATGAAGGGATGGTCACAGGGAGAAGAGGACTCTTTTGATCTTATTAAAGATCGGACCGAGAAGAGATCTTGATCAAAAATCTCGGTTATCGAGATCGAGATTTTTTTCGAGATCGCGAATTCCTCGAGATTCCGGCCTCTATACCTTATAAAGCAATGAAAAAATAAAATTTGGCTAATTAATGACATTTGGTCCCAATTTTCAATTTAAATGACATTTGGTCCCAATTTTCAATTTAAATGACATTTGATCCCAATTTTCAATTTAAATGACATTTCGTCCCAACCACAAAATAAAATAAAAAGGGGCTAGTTTAAAGGTTATTATGGTTAATATCTTTGTTAATTAAACAAAAGAAAAGAGAAATAAAATATTTTTGTAAATTATCAGTGAATGGAGGAATTAAATATAATTAAAACATTCCTCTATTCGCTTAATAAAATAAATTTAAAAAATAAAAAATTTTTTTTCAAATAAAATTTTTTTTTATATTTATATTGAAGGTTTTTAAACAAAAAGAAAGATTATTGAACAAATAATAGATAAGCAAAAAGAATTTTTTTTATTAAAATTGGCAAACATTGTAAAATACCTGGGTAGAGGTATAATGCTTAGTAAGAGTGTGACTTTTTAATATTAATAAAAATTTTCTTTATTAATTTTTTTATTTTATTAGACATATTAAGGAATTTTTTGAATAGAAAAAATTTAATAAAAAATGTCCTTTCGAAAAAATTTCAAGAAATGAATAAAATAAGGAATGTGTCTGGGTACGTGTACCTTAGCTGCTTCTACCCCCATAACTCAGCGAATACTAAACCTTTCTAGACAAATTTA